GGGTGCGCCCAAATGCGGGGCCGCCATGCGGACCCTGCCACTGAGGCCTTCGGTGGAGCTCCCAATGGGGCCACGGAGCGCGTGAGGGATGTACTGGGTGGGTGAAACGCAGGGAGGAGGGGGAGGAGGGAGGAGGCAGCGGGAGGAAGGAAGGAAGGAGTGACGCGGGGACCGTCTCTTCAAAACGAGGACCCAACACCACAGGATGGTTGGGAAAAAATGATGTCCGAGCGATGGCGAGGGGCGTGCCCTGGCGCGTGTGCGGGCGCCGCGACGGCCTTCCACGGCCGGGGGCGGCCGCCGCCCTCGCGCCGCCGGCGGCCTCAGATCGACAGGGCGCATGCCAGTCAGGAGGGGAAAACACACAGACACAAGTAATCGTCGATCCCCAGGAAAAGATGCGAAGATATGGGAGTGGGGGGGGAAGGCAAAACCCCACAGAATATGGGAACATAGGGGGCATCTGTTGATTTGTGTGTATCTCTTTGCGTGTTCTGGGGCCCCTCCAGCAATGTCCCCCAAATGCTCGTCTCCAGAGCTTCAGGGGCGTACGCTCCCCCGCTTCTCGTTTGGATGCGGTGCTGGCGCGCATCCCCTCCGCCGCCGGGCCACCGGCCTCAGGGCGCACGTCCCCCAAAGTGCTCTTCTGACCTGGTGCTGGTACGCATCCCCCTCCTCCTCCTCCTCCTCCTCCCCCCCCTCCTCCTCCTCCTCCTCCTCCCCCTCCTCCTCCTCCTCCTCCTCCTCCTCCTCCTCCTCCTCCTCCTCCGGCGATCAAAGGGTTTCACGATGTACAATCTATCACCAGTGTCAGATGCCGGATATCTGATCATCGTATCAGTCAGAGGTGTACCTGCAGGTACACACCAGTAGGACGCAAGAGCGAGAACGAGAGAGAGAAGGAGAGAAGGAGAGAAGGAGAGAAGGAGGAGAGAGCGGGAGAGGAGACAGGGAAAGGGGGAATACACCCCCCTGCAACTCTCCCACCGCCCGCAGCCCTTTCGGCTCGATCCGGACATGGAGGCTCTGCGCGACAATCAGGAGGGGGACACACACACAGACACAAGTAATCGTCGATTCCCAGGAAAATATGGAAAAATATGGGAAGTGGGGGGGAAGACAAGAACCTAGAAAATGTAGGAAAATATGGGGAATCCTTTTATTTGTGTGTATTTATTTGTGTGTCTCAGGGCCCCTTCAGACAAGACAGGCACCTGAATGCTAATCTGCCTTGGTGGGACGGAGCCCCCGGCTTCACACCCTGGTTCGATTTCGTGGCGTCGGCCAGGATCGGCCAGCGCTTCCTTCACCGAGCGCGTTGCACTACTCGCCAAGTGCCTACTCGCAAACGTCAGGAAAAAACAGATGCTTGCTTCGACGAAATGTATCGTATATCCTCCGCGGCGAATCAAGGCCCTTTACGAGTACAGTCAACCCGCATAGTAAGGACAAGCAACCTTCCAAAGGGTACCCTTACATCCTTGCCTCCTCAGTCCATCCTTGGCCACTTTCGCTGGCCGCGACCCGCTCGGAAAGCTTCGAAATGGGCGTCCAAGGCCCTGGCATCCTTATCGCGCATCCTCACTGAACGGGTTGACTGTAGCTACCTCGCGAGCGGCGGAGCGCGCTCGCCCATTCCTGGGAGCTCCGGCGGCGCGGCCGTGAGCTCGGAGCGGGCGGCGGACGGCGCCCTCCCTGCCAGGTTCGCAACCACCCTGGCTGCTCCACTCGCGAACCCTTGGGTGGAACGCGGATCTGCCGCGCTTCGCGCCGCAGGAGAGGTCTAGTCTTGCCTGCTTCCGGGAGCTCCCGAGCCCTGCAGGCTCACTCGCCGTGGCCTCCGAGCCTGGGCCGCGGCTGCGGCCCAGGGGGCTCCGGAGGAGGGCCAGCGGAGGGCCCGTCCTGTCGTGGACGTCTGGAGGGGGAGGATTGCAAAAAAACGAAGGATTGCAAAAAAACCCTTTTTGCAATCATTGTTTTTTTTGCAATCCTTCGTTTTTTTGCAATCCAACGTGCTTCTTCCCGAAGCACCCGCTCGTTTTTTGAGCCCTCGGACAAGCAGCGGGCCGTCCGCGCGTGGGGTCGTGCGGATGTCCGTCCTCGACCTGCAGGACTGTCTTTTTGTGGCTGGCGCGTGGATGCGCAAGATGCCCCTGCTGCGTGGCTTTTTTACTCACCACCCACCAAACCACCCCAACCCAACCCGAAGGCCCAAATTTATCCCCGATTTCCAGTGGGGGGTGGGTCGGGGAACACTGAAAAAACACATGGAACCCGTACCCCCCCCCACCCGAAATTCGATTCAAATTCGGGTCTTCGGGTTGGGTTGGGGTGGTCTGGTAGGTAGTCAGCTTTTACGTGCCATCGACGCGACGATTTGGCAAGTACAGCTTTCTGCCGTTTGGGCCTGTCAAGTGCACCCGGCACAAACGACGAACACATCAAAGAAGTCTTGAGAGTTCTGCTCGACCGGACGGGGGTCGACTGGCTCGATTTTGACGATGCTCTGGGGAGCGCAGGGGCCGAGGGCGAAGCGTCCCGGGATCCTTGTCACTTCGAGGCCTTCGGGTGTTCGGCCTCCCGCCATCCGCCAGCAATGGGTATGGTGGGTATTCTCGGGGGTGGACAGAACCCCCAACAGTGACACGTCGATTAGTGAATTGTCCGTTTTTGGTTCTCGAGAGGGCGCCGTGGCCGTTCTTTTCCAAGCTTGCGCCCGCCAGGTTTGGGCCTCAGGTCGTTTTCACTAAACCACGTTTTACTAAAGGGGGGTCTGTCCATCCCCGGTATTCGATACAGTCGAACTCGTCGTAACGGCGTCTGCGGCGAAGTGCAACAAACTCGGCAAGGCGTGCGCCGACGTGTAGGAATCTGGCAACAATCGTGCTCTGCGCGTAGCAGAACCCTCGCGGAATTAGCCGGGTTCGCGTCCCACCTCGCGGAGCTACTGCCGCAAGCGAAACTGCGGATGCACCCGCTCTGGGCAGATTCTAACAGGGCAAATGTGTACGCCGCGCGGTGGTCTTCCTCGCGCGCGGACCTTCCTGTCCATTTGTCAGAACAAAGCCGGGGGTGCCATTTCATACTTGCGCGCATTTCTGCTCGGGTGGCGATGTGTCGCTGCGGGGACAGAGGTCTCCCGAGTACCAGCGCTGGCAGGAGCTCGCTGCGCGCGGAAAAGGTCCTCGTGATGGAGACGGACGCCGTTGCCGAACATGGGTGGAGCTACCACTTGTGCAGCTGCGGCAGGATGGTCTCTGGAATCCGTCCGTCGGATTTGCGGCCTCGCAGGGCTTCCGAGAAGCGGATGCAATCAATCTTGAATAATTATCGGTCGTTGTCGAGTGTGCCCGCCGAGAACGTCTTTTTCTCTGCGGGCGGAGTGTCCTTTTCCTAATCGACGACAATCCCGTCACCCATCATCTTATTGTGCGCTGCGCTCGTATCCCCTAGTTGGAACGGCTCGCCCGCATTTTTGGCTGGATGCGATTCTTCATGTTGGGCTCTGGCTGTACATTCTCCAGGCGAGAAGAATGCAAGTGCGGACGCAGGTGCACTCTCTTGGAACACGGGCCCGTTCCGCCTGGCCATGCTCTGGGTTGACTTGCTTATTGGAGTTCAACGCAGGTTGGGCGTCATTTGCACCGCGGATCTCTGCTCGCATCGGGCGGGCAGCACCTCTCTGGACCCCTCTGCAGATGTCCAGAGCGCGCGGCTTTCGGGTTCAACCTGGCAGGTCCCGCGGCGTGGGCGCTTCCCCAGCGTGCGCTTGCATTGTCGTGCCTGGAACAGCTCACGCGCGTCCGCACGTCGAATTTCAGCTCCCGTATCTTGTTGTTGCTTCCTGAGGACACAGGGGCGCCGTGGTTGATGTCGCGCTCTTTTGTCGCCCTGGCGCCGCGTGCGAACTCGGCCTCCCAGGTCCGATCTCTTCCGGCGGTGCATCGGGAGGCCCCCGAGGGCCCCCGCGAGAGGCTCCCAAAGGGCTCTCACGAAACCTTCCAAGCTCCCCATGGACCCTACACGGCCCATGAAGTCTGTCGTGCTCTTTAGGACGCGTGTTCAGCGCCTCAAGAACCCTGCGCGGCCCATGGGGTCCGTGATGCGCTTCAGGACGCGTGTCCAACTGCCGTGTGCTTCATTTACAGCACCTCCATGCTTTCAGGGTCGGCGGATGTTCGTCCGGGATCGGCGGATGGGTGCCGAATCGAAAAAGGTCGTGTCAGGGCTCGTCCGCACAGCTTCTTCCAACCGTGCCCGTAGTTGCCTTTGTGCATATGTTGGAGAATGCATGTGAACTATGTGTCCTCCTTTGAGCTCTAGCTCCAGCAGTTTCTTCTTCCAGCGCGTGCCGGTTTCGGTGTGCATGCAAATCGAGCGCCCCAAGCGACAAGCACGCCGGTTTACACGATTTCTTTGATGGTCCTTCCGTTTCTGAGTGTTTCTGAATGTTTTTTGATGAGATCACGTGTTTGCCAGGCTGAGCCGTTAAGAATATCTACTTGCGTTGCAAGCCTCTGCGTTAGGTGATCTCTACTGTCTCCGCGTTGTGTGAAGACGTAGCCGCCTCTTCTGAACCGCCGCGGAGAGAAAAACTGGGAAATCGAACGCTGGCGAGGCCGGATGCTGCCGGCGTCGTCTGCCGGCGTCCGCTGCCTCCAGTATCGTCGTCGTCGTCGTCGTCGTCATCGTCGTGAGCGTCGTCATCTTCGTCGTCGTCATGATCCACATTATCGTCCTTCTTCTCCTCAGTCCTTCGCCCTCCTCACGGTCGCCTTCCCAGCAATCTTTCTCCACGTCTTGTGCTTGCCATCCCCCTTTCGCGGTCCCTTCGCTTCCCATCGCTGAGTTCTGCGTCCTGCTTGGTGTCCCCGACGTCCGCTCGACGAACCCCGCGGCCTAACAGCGGCTCTTCCCCTTCTTGCCCGGAAAGGTCTTGTTTTTCCCCCCCGGTGCTGCCCCCGAGTGGGGCCGAGCGAATCTTTTTCGCATTTCCCGAGGAGCCTCTCGTCGTCGCGGCTGGGCCCGCGCCGAACACGCGGGCCTGGCTGGGTCCCGAGGACCACCCGAGGGCAGATGCCGAGCGGCTTCGGGCGCAGGAGCGGCCGCGAAGCGAGCGGGTCCCGAGGGGGGCGGGCCCGGGCGCTTGTCCCCGATGCTCTGGTCCTTCTGCACGAAGGATTGCAAAAAAACCTTGTTTTTTTTGTTTTTTGTTTTTGCAATCCTTGTTTTTTTATTTGTTTTGCAATCCTGTTTTTTTTTTTGCAATCCTTCGTCGGGGCCCTCCACGACCCCTCGGGTTGTCGGGGGGCGGCGCGGGATGGGCGGGTCTGCCCCCGAGAAAAATTCCGCGGGCTCTGGGGCCCGTCTCCCTCGCTACACTTTCGGCGATGCTTAAGAAAACCCAAGTTTTCGGCCAAGGTCTCGATGATTCTTGATGTTTCGATGTGAATCGCAAGATTGGAATAGGCATTCTGGGTTTTTGTTCAAATTCTGAGACCATGAATTTCTTAACCCATGATTTCTTAAGCATTTCGCAGGGTGTACCCCCTTCTCCCTTCGTGCCACCTGGGATCGGCGCGGGCGTTGCGCCGGGGATAGGGGCGCCATCAGTGGATGCCAGTGTGGATTTTGTCTGGCCGGTCACGCGTGGGTTACAACGCCCCCGAGAGGCCGAGAAGGGGCAGACACCTCCGCCACGCGGGCGGAGCCCGCAGCCCAGATCGCTGTCCTCCGCGAGCCGGTCGTGGCACTCGTGGCCGCTCTGTGAGCTGGGCCAGGCCAGACAGAACCCACCGGGGCATTCATCGGTCACCCCCCCCCATCCCTGTCATGGCGCCCCCCGGCGCCGATCCCCGCCCCCGGCAGAGAGGACCCCCCCGGGCGCTGGTGGCTGCAGCCGGAGGTGGGCAGCGGCGAGGCGGGCGGGCAGCGGCCGCCGCCTCTCCAGGAGGGCCCCCAGGTCTGGGGGATCTACCAGGGGCGCGCCTCGCACCCGCGCTTCGGCAAGAACGTCCCCCTGCAGATCGAGCTCTACTGGGAGTTTGAGCGCGTGGGCGGCGTCTGGTTCATGCTCCAGAAGAGCGTGGACGTCGTCGCCTGGAGGACCGACGAGTGGCCCCTGGTCGTGCGCTCCCTCGGCGGCATGAGCGCCACACTTTGGGGGAGGGAGGTGACGCCCGATCGCTACGCCGGCGAGGTCAGCGTCGGTGCCGATGGTGGCGGCACCTTCGAGCTCCTTCGGTGCCCCCAAGGCTCCTTTGGTGCCGAGTTCTCGAGTTGGGGGTCGGCGAACCCTTGTGACTCGTCAAGCGCGGGCTCCTTGATCGCCTCCGTGCAGGAGCCCACCATGCACCACAAAGGGCTGCCGCTTTATCAGAAGACCCATCCTCCGATGCAGGATTCTGTCGCGAAGGCCATGCCGAAGGAGATGAACCCCCAGCTGATCTTCACCACGGAGGAGGAACTCGCCAAAGCAACCGCCGAGGTCCTCAAGGCGCACCCAAACGGCATCGACTTGGCCCAGTTGAAGCAGACCATCCACAGGAGCACTGGAGTCTGGTTGTCCGAGGCATTCCTGGGCTACAAAAAGCTCAGCGTTCTCCTGAGCTCACCCACCATTGATGGGCCGATTTTCTACCACCACTCCCGTAGGTAGGAGAGGGAGGACGACAAGGAGGAGGAGGAGGAGGAGGAGGAGGAGGAGGAGGAGGAGGAGGAGGAGGATCAGGAGGAGGAGGAGGGAAGAGGAGGAGGAGGAGGAGGAGGAGGAGGAGGAGGAGGAGGAGGAGGAGGACCTCCCAGTCCTCCCTTCTCCCTGCCTTGCCCATGGTAGTGGTGGTGGAAAACTGGCCCACCAACCATGGCCAGCGCGTGCTGTAGTCAGCGCGTCGGTAGCTGCAACCGCGTGTTCGGGCGTGGGTCCGCACCGCCCGAGGCGGGGGCATGCGAGGGCGTCCCTTGTCTCGCGGACCAGTGTCACCCTGGCAAGCTCTGACCTGCGGCTTGCGTGGCTCTTGAGGCCTCTTTGAGGCCTTCTACTAGAGGCTACATGCGAACCCTGCCCCACCACCCCACGATTTCTCAGGGGGGATGTGGGGTTCACTTCGTTCGGGACCTTTCGAGCGAAGTGAACCTCACCTCCCCCCTTCGAAATCGTGGGGTGGTGGGGTAGGGTTCGCATGTGGCCTCTTACATTCTATAGTGTAGAGGGAATCCATGGCTTTGGCAGCAACTCATGGGAGCTTGGTTTTACCTTCGAAATTCCGTCTCTGGAGTGCATGAAAGTGCGCGCTATCGTCTAGTGATCGATGAGAGAACGCAGATTTCGCGTCGCTTTGTCGTCGATTAACGTCCATCAGCGTCGATTGGCGCCGATTCGCAAGAGCCAGCGGGATGACATGGGAGGCTCCCATGCGTTGCCATAGGGCATGACCCTGTGGCGTGGTTCCCACGAGCCAGATTGCGCTCCCACGCTGAAACACAGCTTCAGAGTGGGGTGTGTGGGCGACCAGTCTCACATCGTACACTGTCCCTGGGGACATGGCTGACGGGGGGGCGTCCCCTGTGCGTGGGCATTCTCCTTCTCCCTGTTTAGCCAGCGCGCTGCTGGCCGCAGCGTGCACATTAGGTTTTCGTTGCTTTTCGGGCCTGGAGCTCAACCAGCAGCATTTATAGCAAGGCACAGTTATCGACACCATCGGCAAGCAGGCGTGGGATGAGGAGGGGGAGGAGGAAGAAGAAGCGGATGATGAGGCGGAGGAGTAGGAGGAGGAAAAGGAGGAGGAGGAGGAGGGGGGAGGAGGAGAAGGTTATGAGAAGGAGTGAGGAGGAGGGAGAGGAGGAGAAGGAGGAGGAGGAGGAGGATCAGAGGTATCAGGAGGAGGAGTGGGAGGAGGAGGAGGAATATGAG